GTCCAAAGTATAGACAGGCCCGTTGGGCTGCTTAGTCATCAAAAGGCAGCCACCAGTAGGGGTCGCATCTGCCCCTACTTCCAAGCCGCGTGGAGAAGTGAGCGCGCGCGAACAGGACACTCCCAACCCAAATGAGTCTATGGCGGAGGTTGCAGGCCGGTGCCTAGATAGTTGTCCAGAGACTGCTTGTGTTGGCGTCATTTTAGGCACGTCCCTCACAGGTGTGGCAAAAGAGTTAAAGGAAAGGATGCCAGCCTGGGCCAAAATGAAAAGGGAGAGTAAGGGACAAATGATTTTGATAGATGTAGAGGTGTTCAAAAGTAGAATAGGGGCCCTTATAGACTCAAGGGCTACTTGTAGTTACATTAGCCGTAGGGCGCTGAAGAAGCTGAGGCTAGGACTACAGGTTCAAAAACTACTAGACCCCATAATCAGTGTCCTCGCAGACAACCGCACGATGCGTGTTGAGGACTACGTAGAGGGAGTCCAGGCGTACTTTCGCCTAGAGAAGAATGGAAAAGTGGAGAAGGTCCTTCATTCTTTGACTCTCCTCGTGCAAGATGACCTTCCTTTTGATATAGTGTTAGGAATGGATTGGGGAGAGGCAGCAGGGGCCACACTTCATTTGAGAAAGCATGAGTGTAGGCTCCTTAGCCCGACAGGCGAAGTTAAGACTGCCCGCTTGTTCCATGTGTCGGGTGTAGACAACACCTTGGCACATTGCTATCTCAGTGCTCCCGCATTCACGCGATTAGTCAAAAAGGAGCAGTTAGAAGATCAGGTCTTTGTAGTTTATGTTAGACCTGTCACTGAGGCCCAAGAAAAGGATAGCTCAACAAATCGAACAATTGCCAAGCTGCTGGAAGAATTCAAAAACTTGACTGAGTCACCGACAGGAGTAGTGTCGCGACCCATCCAGCGCAAGATAGAGATAGAGCCTGGCAGTATAACTCCTAAGGGTGCAGTCTACAGGATGTCCCCTAGAGAGTTAGAGGAGTTTCGCAAGCACTTAGACGAACTCCTTGAGAAGGGTTGGATCAATCCCAATTCGTCTCCATTTGGAGCACCAGTCTTGTTTGTCCCCAAGAAGGAAGGAGAGTTTCGTATGTGCATAGACTATAGGGGTTTGAATGCGATCACCATGAAGAATGCTGAGCTGCTGCCAAGGATAGACGATCTTTTAGATCGGGTGCAAGGTTGTAAGTACTTCTCCAAGATAGACTTGAAGTCCGGATACCATAAGATAGAAGTCCATCTTGATGATCAATATAAGACTGCATTCCGAACTAGATATGGGCTCTATGAGTTTATAGTGATGCTCTTTGGAGTAACCAACGCGCCAGCCACTTTTCAGCGTTGTATGAATGACCTGTTTAGACCATGGTTAGATAAGTTTGTAGTAGTCTATCCTAGTTTTAGTAAGACCCTCCAGGAGCATTAGGGTCATCTAAGGCAGGTATTGGAGAAGCTTAGAGAGGCTAACTTCAAGATCAACGCGAAGAAGTGCGAGTGGGCCAAGACGCAAGTTTTGTACTTGGGCCACGTATTAGACGGAGATGGCATCAAGCCAGAGGACAGCAAGATCGCGGCGATTAGAGATTGGCCGACGCCCCGCACATGGACAGAGTTGCGGTCGTTCCTAGGCTTAGCTAACTACTATAGGAAGTTCGTGAGGAACTTCTCTACTATCGCCGCTCCTTTGCGCCAATTGCTGAAGGCAATGGGACAAAGACTGTACGTTTGCGCTCAAGAAGCTAAAGCGCGCGTTAATAGAGTACCCTGTCCTCAAAGTTGCAGATCCATCTTTGCCATTTGTCGTCACCACGGACGCGAGTCAATATGGGATAGGCGCCGTGTTGCAGCAAGACGACGGCAATGGCTATAGACCCGTAGAGTTCATGTCAGCGAGGATGCCCTGTGAAAAGGTTGCTGCCTCCTCGTACAAGAGAGAATTCTACGCTCTCAGGCAGACTTTAAATCATTGGAAGCACTACCTGCTTGGGAGGCACTTCAAAGTGTATTCGGACCACGAAACGCTTAGATGGTTAAAGACACAAGCCAAGATGACACCTAAGTTGACTAGGTGGGCCGCAAAGAGACCAATTTGACTTTGAGCTCAAGTCAGTGAAGGGCAAGTACAACGTAGTTGCGGATGCTCTAAGTAGGAGATCAGACTAGTTGTACTACACTATTTGGATATAGGGAGAGACCTGCAGGAGAAAGTGAGGCAAGCATATGCGCAGGACCCTATCTATAGCGACCTCCTGAAGAGAGTAAGAGAGGCCTCAGAAACTGAACCAGATTACCGCACTACAGACGGGTTGTTGTTTGAGAAGACTAATGTGTTTGACCGCCTGTGCGTTCCCAACAGCGAAGAAATCCGCAGTTTGATTTTAGGGGAATGCCACGATACTGAAGGGCATTTCGGTTGGCAAAAGACATTAGCCAACCTGATGCATGCTTATACCTGGCCAGGGATGAAGAATGACTGCATAGAACATGTCCGCAGTTGTAAAGTGTGCCAGAGGAATAAGTCTACTACACGCGCGCCCCTAGGTCTTCTCAAACCCTTGCCTATTCCGGATCAGCCGGGAGACTCCGTGTCCATAGACTTCATGGACACCCAAGTCAAGAGTAGACATGGCAAGCAGTTTCCGTCCCTTTGCTTGCAGAGGCACGTACGAACTTAGTTATACATAAGTTTTTTTACTTTTGGGTTAGTGAGAATGGAATCCCAGTGTCAATAGTTAGTGATAGAGATAGTCGTTTCACCAGCCAGAACTGGCAAGAACTCGTGAGAGCCTGCCGATCTAAGTTGTTAATGTCGTCCGGCTGTCACCCAGAGACTAACGGTCAGACAGAACAAATGAACAAGATCCTACAGCAAGTTCTGCGCATGTACATTAGACCAGATCAGATTAACTGGGATGAGATGTTGCCTAGAGTAGCTAGTGCATACAACAACAGCGTGCATCTATCCACCTGCCGCACTCCCAATGAGTTGCACAAGTGCTTTAGACCGCGCAGACCGTTCGAAGGACTGCACCGGGATCAGATTCACAGATTACCGCCCGGTACCAGGGAGTTTGCGATACAGCAAGAAAAGGAGCTAGCCACTGTTGTTGAGAACCTTCGGAAGGCCCATCACAAAATGATAGAACAGGCTAACAAGCACCGGCGCCCATCGCAGTTTCAAGTAGGCGACTTAGTCTGGGTCAAAGCAAAAGAGTTTGCACCGGAAGAAAACATCTCGCAGAAGTTACTGCCTGCATATCGAGGACCGTGGCCGGTTCTAGAAGTCAAGGGCGGAGAGGATGGACCCTCCTACAGCATTGAGATTCCAGCACACCTCCACACATACCCTGTGTTCCATGCTTCGAAGCTGCTGCCGTGTGTCACTAGTCAACAGTTCCCTTCCAGGAGATCCATGATCCCACCGGATATGGATGGAAGCTATGACATAGAGGGCATTGAAGAAGAGGATGCGTTTAGGACAGGAGGTAGAGGTCGTCCCCAGAAACAGTATAAAGTCCGGTTTGCCTATCAGGAACCGGAAGACGACCGCTGGTTCACGAAAGCAGAACATCTAAAGACTGCTCCCGATATAGTCAGAGCCTATGAGCGTGACAAGAAAGGTAAAGGTCCCACCTTGGACTGAAATTTTCTCGGAGGACCTCGCATTTAGGACGGCGGGAGTGAAACGGTTTTCACCTTTTAGCAGTGGCGGATGCRGTACCCAGGGTTCGATCCCTAGACCTCACCCTACCCATGTACAGTATCTGTGTAGACCCCGAGAATTGAACCTGTGACCTGTGTATTCGTAGGCAGTTGGTATGCCTGTCGTAGGTCCATAGGCAGCAGGGGTTCGATCTGTAGGTCTATAGCGTAGAAGTCTTAGCGAGTTCCGGAAGCTTAGCTGTAGACCTTCTAGAAGGTAGGCAAGTGGCAAGTGGTCAAGTGGTGAGGCAAGTGGTGGACGAAACCGCAGTGCAACAGCGGAACAACGTCGGTAGGATAGCGGTGAGTCCACAGTCAGTCAGCGGAAGGTTCATTCAGTCCCAGTCCGGTCCAGCAAGTACCACAGGGGGACTGTGAGCACCAAGGGCCGATGGCAAAGGGCAGACCAACGAGTTTCTGAAGTATAAATCAAGAGGCATCGCCCAGCCATTCATTCATTCCTGCGTGAGCCATGCAGAAGCGCTGCCACAGCAACTTGTGCAAGGAGGTCTGCAGATGAGCCCGGAGGACGCAGTGGGCTAGAGAGAGGGAGTTAGCATAGCGATAGGGTAGATGCAGCGACAGCTGCCATAGCTGTAGTTAGTAGTGAGTGTGTGTGTGTGTTCGAGTGTGATGCGTGTGGGATATCCAGGGTGATCCAGTGTATGTGAACAGTGAGATGTTTGGGCGCTGAAGTCGCCATGGCTAATTGAGAGTGAACTCGTATCTGAAAGCCATATCTCCGAGTTTTGAGTGGGCGCATGTCGCCAGTATGCTGCGTTGCTGTTTTCATGCATGAAAAGTGTGTTTGAGAACGAGTCTGATTGCATTATGGCATATTAGCCACAATTCTTCATGCTTAGTTTTTACAGCATGTCAAGAAGGAATGGAATATGTGCAGACTGCCTGGCCCCCAGTGGTGTGACGTGCACATCACATGAGCACATACATGAGCACGATGACAGATCAGGAGAAAAGAAAGGGGGGGGACCTCTGAGAGCGAGAGACAGATCAGGAGAAAAGAAAGGGAGTGACCTCTGAGAGAGAGAGAGAGAGAGAGAGAGAGAGAGAGAGAGAGAGAGAGAGAGAGAGAGAGAAGTGCTTCCAAGGCATTCCAGTATTGAGATTTGCAACTATTGCTACCTAACCCCCATTGGTATGAAGCGGACATACATGTGCACGACAAATGACATATGACAGATCAGGAGCAAAGAAAGGGGAGGGGACCTGTGAGAGACAGAGAGAGAGAGAGAGAGAGAGGAGATTCTGCACTCTCTGATCGGGGACGAATATGCACATGCCGCAATTTGAAAGCTTCATGTCCAAGTACAACTGCAGTGATCATGCTGACCACATAGAAGCATTGCTGTATGTATTCAAATTTGCCCAACGGAAATCTAGACACAAGAAAAAGTCCCCTTTCTCCAAAAATGACCCTCCCCGATCAGCCCCGCAAATGGCTCACGAGGTCTACCTGGTAGCCTGCCAGCCGAAAAGAAAGCAACCTAGCCTGCAGATCCGCTAATTGGCGGAAAGCAAATAAACATCATCTTCCTTGCCTTCTCAATGGGGAGCAAGGGCAACAACTCCCCAAAACAGCACATCCAATCACCTGGACTGAAGAGCAAAAATCTCTAGTCAAAATGGCTGAAGAGCAAAAATCTCTAGTCAAAATGGCTTTCTTTCACTCGATGCGCTCCTCGCACACCTCACGCAACTCTCTTCGCCTCAAAAACACTCTCCACACTCATTTGCAGTGCACTGCAGTTCATCCTCTCTTGACATACATCCGCACGATGTCAGGAAAAAAGAGCGATCTGATCCACCACCATGTCCTTGCGACCCTAGGCACGGAGC